TTTTTTTTTTTTTTTTTTTTTTTTTTTTTTTGTTGTTGTTGTTGTGGTGGTGGCTCGGGGGGTAGGGGGTCGGGAGGGGGATGGGTGGGGGGAATCAGCAATCAATTCAATAGTGTGGCAATGTTCTCCTTCATTTTTTTTTTTTTTTCACAGGAGGAAAAACGGATCTGGTTGAGGTTCCTCTTATCCTTCCACAGTACGTGATCAGTCTCTTTAATAATTGTACAAGGCAGGACTATCCCACTGGCTCCAGCAGCGTCTTACCCGGAGAGGGTTCGGGTGGATAAATAATTAAAATCCTATCCCTCGGCTTAGCGAAGAAAAAAGAAAATATTGACTCGGATCCTTCTTCTTTTCCATACATCAACTGCACCCGGATTCACCCTGGATAGTGCAGGTGGAGGGAAAAAAAAAAAACAAAAAACGGAAAAAAGAGAAAAAGCCCACCCTAGTCCGCCCCGGCAGCCCTCGGCAGTCTTCTCCGAAGGCTTTCTGAGCTTTCTGTTTCTGTCCTGGCGGGCTGTGCCTCTCCCCAAAGCCGCCTCGCCGCGCAGGATGGAGGAAGCACTGAAGGGCACACTGGTCTCTTTGCTCCCCCTTTATTCCAAGGCTGGGCGGCTTTGCTTCAGATATCCCCGCTCCGGGCATGAAGGTACTGGAAAGAAAGAAAGTTCTTACCTGCTATTTTCTAAGCCTAATGCATCCGATCCGCTTTTAAAGTACATAATTTTTAATTTTTAAAAAATGATCTGTGAGAATTTCACTTCCTTATATTAAGTCCCATTGAATTTTCATATGCCTTTTCAGGAATTTTCCTCTATTTATTTACATAGCAATCCCAGCCGATGGAAGGGGAGAAAAAAAAAAAAAAAAAAAAAAAAAAAAAAAAAAAAAAAAAAAAAAAAAAAGGAAAACCCATATATATGAGATAGGCTTGGATATTGGACCAGAGGAGAGATCAGTCCCAGGAGGATGTTGGTACAGGAAAGGAGGCGGCTCTCGTTGCTCTGCCAGTGTAATGATGGTGCTCACACATGTAGGACTCCTCGGGTGCGGGGTATCCTTTGGTCTCTGGGCTAAACTGGCTACAAGGCATTCAAGTAAGTTTGCGTGCGGATGCTGAGCACAAACCCCCTTTTTGTAAAAGGGGGAAGAAGAAGAAAAAAAATCCTGATTTTTTTATCCCCCTCCCTTTGCCACAGCTTCAGTTCACGAGGGAGACCTCCGCGCTCCCCCCGGTCTCCCCCGCCGCGTCAGGCAGGACACCCCCTCCGCGGGGGGGGAAGGCTCCGCCGCGGCGCTTCCTCTCGTCGCCTCTCCGCGGCCGCGCCCGCCCGCGCCTCCGCCATCCAGCGCCCGGCTCCGCGCCCCCGCTCCGCAGCCGTGCGGCACCTCCGCGGCTGGGGCACGAGTCCGGCCCGCGCCCGGCCGCGGGATGCGCGCTGGGGCCGCCGCCGCGCTGCGCTCCGCTCGGCCGCGCCGCTCCGCGCTGCGCTCCGCGCCGGGCTGGCGGCGGCGGCGGCGGCGCACCGGGCCGGGCCCAGCGCCGCTCCGCGCCCCCCCCCGCGCCCTGATTGGCCGCCGGGACAAAAGTTTCTGTGGCGACGGCGGCGCGGCGCGGTGACGGGCAGCGCTGTCCCATGTCGGGATGCTCCCGCCTCCGCGGGCGCGGCGGGGCGCGGGGGACGGCGCGCACCCGGCCCGGGCCCACGGGGGGTGGGGGGGATGCGGCGGGGGGGAGAGAGGCGAGGGCAGCGTTTCCATGGCGATGTCTCCGGGCGCAGCCCCCCCCGCCTCCCCGCGCGCAGACGGAGCGAGGGGATCAGCTGACATTTCATTAGCTGAGGACCTAATTATTGCTTATTGGAGCAAGAAACGCGCGCAGGGCCGTGGCGGGGGGCTGTCGGCCTCCGCGCCCCCGGCGGACATCCCCTCCGCCACCCCGCCCGCGGAGCGGAGCGGAGGAGGAGCGGCGGTACCGCGCACTTTGCGCCGCACCGGCCGGCGGGGCCGCGGCGGGCCCGGTGGGATCCCTGCGGGACACGTGGCCGCTGCCGGGCCGGGCTTTCCTTCGGAAACGGAGAACGAAGCCCGTCCGCCGCCTCCCCCGCGGCCCGGCCCCCGCCCGGCGGAGCGGAGGGGCCGCGCTCGCCCGGGGCGCCCCCCTCCAGCGCTCCCCGCATCTCCCGTCGCCTCCGGGACCGTCGGCGCAAGCCGGATCCGGGGAGCGCAGCCGCGCGTTGCGCCCCGCGGCGGGCGGGGCTCGGCCGGCCGTGCCCGCGGCATCGCACCCCGGCTGCGGCGGGCAGCGAGCGGCAGCCGCCCCGCGCTTCGGCGCTCGCTGGGCGGGAGGGGAGTCCAAAATCCACCGCAACCCAAACACGTGCCGGTTTCGGCTTAGGTCGCTGAAATGAAGAGGGCTACGGGGTTCCAGTGCTGTGCCTCGGGTGTCTTCTGCAGAAATCCCACCTGTGTCTGGGTATCCTGTCACTCGGGGCCTAGAAAGGCCCAGTGGAAAGGCAGCTGTGTGTTTTTCCTGCCCAGACCTAGGCGGTAGTGAGCACCCTTCGCTTTCACTCCCTCGTGTCCTGCAGAAAAAGGCTTCCATGGGCTGTCGTGCTGTTTACACCGAGGCTGGATTTCTAGTGCAAAAGCCGAAGGTGCTAAGAGAACCAGGAGAAGCTCCTCCTCACACACCCCGGCCAGGACATGCAGGTCCGCTGGGCTGGCCCTGCGCGTGGGCACCTCAACCCGGCCTCCATCTCCCCAGCTAAACCAACTCACATGTACCTATCCTCTCCTCTCTCCCCCTCTTCCTTTTCCCCTCTTTCCCCTCTCCCCTCAGCCCTATGTTTGCTTTTCTGCTTTCTGTCTGGAAACACCACCTCAGACACAGGCAAAGCTGGGACAAGACTATTGTTTAAAAGCAGCGTTCTGAAGGATGTTTGTGTTGCCAAAACCTTTTCTGCCATCTGTAAAATCTGAGAGGACAAGCCGGCACAATGGGCAGAGAAAAGTAGGACTTAGAGATAACCCAAGGAAGCTTGAGACTTTTTGTTGGCCACAGGGCCCGCAAATTATCTTGGCAGCCCCATTTTAGTGTTAGAGGAGCACGGGACTCCCGTCCATCACAGGATCTAGAGGCGAGGCAGTAACAAAGGAACTGCTGTGCGGAAGGGGAGCAAGGGGAACCTCGCTGAACTCTTACCCAGCAGGCTTTATGCGATGTAATATTGCTTTAATGTGCCATTAGATCCACATTTAGAAAAAGGGTCGTAACATGGATTGGGCTGCACTGCTAAACAATTCTGTCAGATAATTGTTCTCAACCCAGCCTCCTGCTGAGGGTCTCAGTAACTCCCGTATCACACTGATACTGTGCTGTGACTGAATCCAAGGTACACACACAAAGCAAAAGGGATAAAGAAAGATGTGACAGAGCCAGGAGTGACGATCCAGGCAGTTATAGCATGGATGAGTAAAATGCTTGAAATAAGCAGGAGTGGTTTAGTAGATCAGAAAATAATTCCATATCCAGGAGTATCACTTTGGGTCACGTAAAGAGCCCTGTGCCTCAGAAGAGACACATTCCTAAATTCAATCAAGTTTGGACCGTGCCTTAAAAGTCCCAGAAATATTATTTTTTAAACTTTTGAAGTTTTGTTTTGAGGCAGGAGAGAGAATCATATAATGCCAGAATAATTTGGAAGGAATCTTAACGATCTTAACTAGATGATCTTAACGATCATCTGCCATGGGCAGGGACACCTTCCACTAGACCAGGTTACTCAGAACCCCATCCAGCCTGGCCTTGAATGCCTCCAGGTATGGGGAGCCCATAATCCCTCTGGGCAACATGTTCCAGTGCACCACCACCTTTGTAGTACAGAATTTCTTTCTAATGTCTAATCTAAGTCTTCAGTTAAAAGCCATTCTCCCTTGTCCTAACACTACATGCCCTTGTGAAACAAACCTTGGTGAAAACCACCTGTGGTGTGAAGCGGGGATGGAGAGTAGAAACTCAAGCAATACTGAATGCAGCTGGATTTCTTTCTCTGTTTTACAGTTAAGAATTTTGATTCGTCTTGATGAAAGATATGGATGTTTCGTGACTGTTTCCAGTAATCACTTGGCCAGAAGTCCTAGGAGCATCCTGGAACCCCACCCACCCTGCCAGACAATGTATCAGCACAGGATACAAAAATTATGCTTACCATAAAGAACTGGTGATCTAAAGAAGGTCAATTGCATGGTACATGGCTTCCTTTTCATATAAATATACATTGCAGAGTGTATTTGCATAACCTATACTCATTACATATACATATATATGGTTTATGTGTGTGTGAATAGTAACTTCAGCAGAATTTATATGGTGAATTTAGATTCAGTGCAGATTTTTGATCTCACATTTTGACATCTTCTGATACTCTGAAAGTAGTACTCTCAGATCATGTATTTAAATTAAAAGAATTACATGGGGTTAAGTTCACTGTCTGGTTTGGGATGGGTTTTTTTTGTATCAGAATTAACAGAGTTTAATAAAAGAGTCTGGAGTCTCCTTGCAATGAAAAGGGCTTGTACAGACCCTCCTCCTTTCAAGAGTTCTAATGACACCCTGTTACTCAGCTGAAATTGAAACTCTCATGGCATCCTTGGGTAGAGGGACTGTGTTGGTCCTTCAGTGCTGTGGACTGAGGCTGTTCTGTGTTCTGCATT